TCGATGCTTTAGATCATGTTTGGTCAAGTATAGCGAAATAAAAATGCCGAATTTCTTTTCCATTAATTTGAATCTGAATCGGAATGGGTCTAAACACTGTACACACCGAGGGGATATTATATTACTAAAGAGTGATAGCAGTGTTGGACGATTTTTGGGGCGTGTGCACTGGAAGTTACTACTAGCAGTAGCAGCCGAATGACGTACTTTTTTTTTCAATCATTTTCAATTTAAAAGTTCCATTATATCCTGAGTGCGAAGACAGACTTGGAATTAAAAGTAATATCGAAAAAAAATATTACGTTATCTGATTGCATGATATTTGAAATAATCATTCGCCAGGATAACGGACCGAAATAGTACCAATACGGTCGCGAATCTGCCGCGGATCTGCCAGACTGCTGCCTGGCAGAATGAAAATAATAGAAAGTTTACAAGTCCAAATTTGAAATCTGATGAGTTGAGTTTTTGTTTCTCAGAGAATCAAGTAAAAATTCGTTTTATTACTGTATAACAGCTAAGTATAGAAAAGGAAATAATAAATACCTTTTATAACAATTGTATTAATATAGTTTATGTACAATGTATACAAGGCTGTACAAAAAGTAAAATTGCAAGCCTAATTCGTGATTTATAATACATGAGTGTTATCAAGTTGAAACCACTTATTAAGATATTAAGGTAATAGCTATAATGACAGAAAAAGCGAATATACCTGTTGGATAAGTTTCTTGCCAAATTAAATCTAATTCCGTAATTTACTATAGTACATTCATAAATATATAAAAGTAGAAAACATTTGCTATAACAAATGGTTCCTTTTTGAGTTTTAACTGTGCATTCAACTAATTAAGTACAGCGTTACAGAACATTTAAATTCTAATTATAAAGATTGTAATTTATGATACATTAATATAACACAGAAGAACACTACTTATCTCAATTGTTATGTACTCTTCTATATTTACAGAACTAAAGATACATAAGTGAATGAAGATCTATTAAAATAATGGCAGCTCTGTGTGTTACATTTTACGCAATAAAATTAATATAAAATTTACATGTATCTAAATGTGCTTAGTAATTACTCGCTCATATAAAACGTATATACGTATTTAATCATACATAAAATAGACTTTACATACTTCTCTTTCCAATAACTTATATTTTAAAATATTTAATGAATTCCTGTTACAATCTTAATGTCAGATTTGTTAATAATTGTCATGGTTACTAGCAATAGCAACGTTCCGCTTGTTACGTTCTTTAATCCTCCTTCGCCAGTATGTACGTCAAAAAGTACGAACTAATAGCATCATAGTTAGATAGACTTATAACATGCTAAATATATTTAACTAGCTCCCTGTTTTGTTTTTCGTTATCAATGAACAACAAATTATGCGCAGATCTAAGTATAATTACGTTCTACGATTCATGTTAACAGCTATAAATATTATAATAATATTTTGTTGGTCTGCTTTCGTTATAGAAAATTATGATGATTTAGAATTTGCAAGTAAAAAATCATTTCTTAAATCATCATATAGCACTGCCTGTAATACGATGGATTATCATTTACGTATTTCAAAATTTTGAAAAAAGCACAACACTTAAATTCTCTCAAAAGAATTGAAGACGTTTGTAGAATGATAATGTTATAATAAGTTTCACCTTCCATATAAAAAACAATCCTAATAAAAATAATAATAGGAATGTTTGTAATAAGGGCAGTGAAATTTATTCGAAGTTCCTAAGATACGAATAGGACGGATAATGCAGTAAAGGAAACAATGCTACAATTTTACAAATGTATACAGAAGAAATATACCAAATTACAGACTCCTCTGCTATATTAGATATTAGTGTTTAAACCGAATGTGTATTTTGTATCGAGAATACACGAAGTTCGGAATCTACATATTACTCATGAGAGAAACAAGTACGGGGACAATGTGTTTCCATAAATATCATAACATTTGCGTTTAACTCTCCACTTATAAATAGCCAGGTATTTAAAGTATAAATACAATCGTAAGTGGCTGCAGAATGAATATATTAGAATAGTAAGACTTAAATAAAAATCTGATCGAGACATCTTTCGTTGCTAACGATTCTAAGTAAATATCTTTACATAGCGTAAAACTATAATGTTAGTAACTGAAAGATAAAAATATGCTAACACGATTTCGAATCGTAATATCAGTCTATAGTCTATTACTATCTATCTTATCCGAAGGAGATTCTACTAAGTTCATTGTACTACTATGTTTGATTTCGCTTTTGAATAATCTATCTTCAAATATCAATATTATAAAAAAGTACAAGAAATACGGTTTGACGGAAACTCTTTCCTATGATCTTAACGCATTAATACCTTACAATATTCTCAAACTATATATTAATAATAAATATGGTAATAAAATTGTTTTACTAAATTAGCTATTATAATTAATGATCTATTATTAGAAACGTCACAAGCTCCCGTCAAGACATTTTCAGTGTGAACGAATACTTTTAATATTAACGATACTACGCGATTCAGACCTTGTTAGACGAGAATCTTTCCACTGGTAACATTTTATTTCTGTACAACCCGAAAATCGAATCTTCCGTTCTTCGCTCGAATTGCCTTTCTCCGAAACGGGTCTTGTATGATTCGATTGAGTCGTAAGCTTAAATAGCCATCGGTTCCATCAACGATCTTCATCGGTGGTATCACGGGCTTGGAGGTAGAATCTACCCTGATTCCATCGAAACACAGTCTCAGGTCTCCGGATCATAGTCTTGCTCCCTTGGTTTATTCTTCTTGTATTTCTTCTTCTTCTTCAGTTTTGGCATGATCTCGCAACTACATCCACTTCGTACCTTGATGTAGTCCAACGTCCACATTGATCCACCCACTGTGTTCCCAGCGAACGTAGGGATCATGCGTTCTCTGTGCCGATGCCTTCCGTGTTCCTCTTTCCCACTCTACGAACGTAAAATACATCTACTGTTTGACGTGTACTAAATATGGCTAACGCAACAACTGTGGCTAACAAAATTACGACAAATATCATACATGATTTTTTAGTTCTCCATTACAAAAAAAAGTACATACCATCGATCCAGGATTTTCAATGATAGCGTAAGTGTACGAGAATTTCTGCACACATCTGGACTGGTTACTGAACTTCCGGTCGATGAACCTGCACGGCTTGTCGAGGACGTCTGGCCTGCAAGAGTACTCGAAGAACCTCTGGGCGTTCTGGCCGTCCCGATACAGTTGCACGTACATGTTTTCCCGATTTCGACCGCCGACCGGTTCCACCATTTCCTCTACCGTAGGGCAGCAATCGACTGGAAGGCCGTCCTCGCCTCCTTCGTGTCGCAGAATCATGTTCATCTCTCGATAAGTCATCCGCTTAGTCGTGTCCTCGAAGGTCTGCGTCCTGAGAAGTCCACACAGATCGTTCAAATGCTTATGCTATTGATTTCCGACAAGAATTAGGTGAGAGTGAAAGATTGAACGTTCTGTGCGTGTAATTGTATATACTGTTTAATAAATACAACTAGGCTGCAGATTTATACATTATATTTATATATATATATATATATATATATTAGATTATATTGTAATGTCAATTTAAGTAATGATTAGCTTTATTTAGCGATACTTCTAATATTTTGTAAATTCGTGCACATGCGTTACTTATATTTTCTGCACATCCAATTTTTCTATAGGAATGTAGAAAAACTACAATCTAGATACGACGTACCGATGTTATCACGATAATATTCTGGCGAGTAAATACCCTATAGAATGTAGTTGTAAACTTGTGAAAAAGTGCTTCCGAATTATCGCATTACCCCTAATTCCGTATTCACTTGGCAAACCTTTTACACGAGTCATTAATAATAATCAAGACAGTTTGACAGACATGATAAATAACGGCGTAGTGCCGAGGTTCGCACAGTAGATAAATGACCGTCGCGAATGCTGATTGAAAATTGAAATTCAGCCGTGTAAAATAATGTCAACGGCGTGTCGATAAATTTGTGAGTACTATGCCAAGCGTGAACGACATACGAAGGTATTTGATCGATCGCACGCAGTCAATCGTGTTGCGATACACGTGAGTAAGTGTCTTTGTTCACATACGTATTGATAAATTTGTGACGATGACGCGGAAAATGGAAACTCACCAACGGGAGATATGTCCCCTGAAAGGATGTTCCCGGGCCTTCCGAGAGGACAAGGATGAAGTCAGGTTGTTGGCGGCAGCAAGCCGCGGGCACAGGACTGCGGTCAGCCAAACCACCTGCGAACAGAACAGAAGAAATTTTATTAAATCTACAAAATCGCCGAAGCTTCGTGGAAACTTTTTAATGAAAGCGTTTAATATTCATTTAAAAATTGGTTTCAATAGAACATCGATCGAATGCATTATCTTCTCGCATAACTTCCGATATTAACATTTAAATTATATGCAAATGCGTGAACTTCGCATTCTGCAGTGTTAAATATTCATTCAGGGATGTACGCCAACTTTTTTTTAGCTAGGCATTCTTGATTCTCAGTCGCCGTTTCACGATTTCAACACTCGATGATGAAATCATCTAAGTTACGAATATTCGATTAAACCATAAGTACCTTGCGTAACCGAGTAATCGTCTAGAAATACCTACGAAATTGAATTAAGCAACTGATAGCAGTGAGCAGATCGCACGATCTGGCTTCTAATTTCCGACGACAAGATATATTCCGCAATTAAGCCGAGAGTGTGGAAGGAGAAAGGGAGTGAAAGAGGGAGAGCGTAGTCGAACGCCGCGAGGCCTGTTTTGCATAAAAATTATAAGCTGAATTAATGTTTTCACCTCCGTAAACGCGTACCCGTGATCATGTGCACCGCATTTCGTGCCCGGCCGATGCGTGACTAACACAGTGGTTTATTGCACGTTAATACCGATCCGGTACCACCGGTACTTTCTCACGAGATGTTCTCGCTCCACCCTTGCGATCAGGTCCCCCAAAGAACACGATCATCAGCGTGGTATAAAATCTTTTTTCCAAAAAAAAATGCTCTATACAAATTCCCTTGCGTAGTGACGTTACACATTTTGAAACACCGACATGTCTCAATTAAAAATCACAAGATTGTAGAAAACTTTCGTTATTTTAACGAGCAATCAACCACCATCGTAACAAGTTACCAGATTAAAACATGAAACGTTCCCAAGAATGTATACAAAACCCAACAAAAGATTGCTTATATTATCGATCATTCAAAACGTTTTAGCAGCTCTTTTATTCAATGATCGATGGAAACAGTGATAAATCAGAATTTCAAGAGCAACGTCAGAAATAATCTCTCGGTTTCGTCGTTAGTGCACGACGTCTAGAATAGCCAAGGGAACTCGGTTTGCGGAGATTTAGAGAAATGGGACAATAAAAAATGGTCGGCACTCTCCGGTCAGTTAATTAAGCCATCTCTTCTCGGGGTTGAGCCGGTTAGCTGTCTGGCGCCTCCGGTACGAGGAAATCATGTTTCGGATCGAGCGGGTGTTCACACACAGCAGACCACACATCGAGTTCTCGGATCCTTATCGGTTCGTTACCTCATCGTCGGCCAATCCCTTCTGGCAACGCGATTTTAATCGATGCTCCTTATGCCTTATACGAAACGCGTCATACACGCAACATTATGACGACGACTTAATGATATTTTATCGCTGATTAACTGAACATGCCGATATGCGGGAATAAATGCGTTTGCAAAACGGTACTTTGGGAGGCATGTGCTCGTTCTGGATTTTCTATATGAGTCTTATAAAGAGGGTATCGGAGTAGTCATTTACGCAAGACTTATCCGGCTCGTATAGTATCTAAGGGCTAAAACTATTTTTCCTCCATTAATATCCACTTTTACCAAACTGTGATTAACTTGATCAACAACAACTGCATATCGTTCTTAAAATAGAGGTCAATTTTAACATATGCAATACAATTTAATGACACGTGACATATAACAAATTTCCAGATTAGACCATAACGTTTAAAAATACGCATATTTGGAAATAGCGTGTCTTAATCGTTATCCTCACCTTAATCAAATCAATCGGAGATTGGTGAAAGTGACCCTAAACTCTCTAAATATATGTTATAATATGTACATAAATTTATGACTGTGAAAACATTGTTCTTGATATTCGACAACAGTGGCAGTTGAGCACTTCATATTAGATATTTGTCAATTTGTGCAAACCTTTCCAAATACGAAAATACGAGATTGATAATAATTGAGACCTCTTCTTATTGCGTTGGTTAATGATTCAAGTAAATACTATTGATAAGAATCCATCCTGGCATCTAAACATTTCTCCGATAGTAATTTCGGTTATTACTTCCAAGACCATTATTTTCATTGAAGTAACCACTCAATTAAAACCCTGAACTTTCATCGCATAAACCTGTTTTTAACACGCGATGAGCGTTTCCCCAAGTTCGAACATCTACCTACACGCCGAGAAATTTATACAAACTGCGTACAAAGTTGTTTCAAAATAAAACAGCGCCATTAATTCCGGATCTTAAAACACGTTGTATCGTAACGTAGCGTTCGTTACTCTGTCCGGCGTTACCTGGTAAAAAGTAGCTCGTTTGCACCGGGCTTAAAGGATTCTCTGTATATCCCAGGGTCTTAGCAAGTGAACAACCTCCAGAAACGCGCTAATTAGCGTCTCGAATTCGACGCGTCGTCCTCTTCCGCCTGATAATGAAACGCTCAGTCAGGCGGTATGTGAAGCGCATTTTCGAAAGTCGAAATTAGCCGGTCGCTCGTTGCCAGTTTGCGTACAACACGATCGTCGCGAGATATTCCCGATGAAAGACGTTGGGAGTTCTCGTAGTGATCCCTAATTACGAGATAATCCCATCGGATTTTGCTATCTTCGCTCGATACTGAACCAGGCTGTGTTCCTTCACGATTTTTATCGATCTACTTTTAAAACCGTAGACTGTAGATTTACGAGATTAACCAGAGTGATAAAAATAGCATACTCTTATTTTCTAAGCATGCCGTTCGACTTGCGTACGAATTCGTTTTTTGACCGCTTTCTGAACTTCATCGATTTTCGTTAACGGATGGGATTTCGTGTGAGAAAAAAATATGAGCCGATCTGTTAGAAGAGATGTCCTCTTTATAAGAGGTCGAATCCAAGGATAGCTACTTAAAACGATTCCCGATGCACAAATTGCATACACGTATACGCAAAGGCCAAACAGAGCAAAAAATGTAAAAACCGACAAATATTAGAAAACTCATGTAATCACTGTAGCCCGGCAAGCGAAGATTAGTACACAGTTTAGCTGTTCAAGTTCGAGATAGCCTATGTATATATGAACCCTCGTGCAGGGTGAACCGGTAACGTTCAAACAGGCAATGTTACTATCGAGAGGACAGGACTTATCGTCGTACTTTTTTATGACTGTCCACGAATGTATCTGTACCCGCAAGCAAGGGATTTGTTACCTGCCTGATATAACTTCAAAATCACAATACACACATAGCTACTGGATTATCTCGACCAATGAGAATTTATTTTACGGTGTGTGTCGGTGGTGTATCGTTCGAGAACCGTTTCAAATACTTTTAACAAGAGTTATACATGTATTGTTACGTGAAACGTGTATGGGAGTGAAACGATAAAATAAAGCAGCTAATCATTTCAGATACCATCTACTACAATTAAGTGCGACGTAGGCGGTTTACACGTGGCTCCGTCTAATTATACACTGGTCAGATCCTACATAAAACCCGAAGCGCCGAGCAACAAATCTCCCCGGATTAAAACGCGAGATCGGCAGATACGGTTTTCATAGTCTAGAAACTGTACCGGCTAACTCCGTTTCAACCAATCGAATGGCACTCGGCTCTTGCGTATCAACCATCGAAATAGTTGCCGCCTACAATTTTTGCTCTTCGAGATCCTTGGCATCGTTTCACGCGAGTCATGCCGGATCGTGCGCCAGGACGTCGACGAATTACCAGGTCAGAGAATGGAATTACGGAATGACGGATCGGCGCCAGTATCGGGCGCGATTATCATACAATATGATACGCGATCGCAATGGTGTGAACGCGTCTTTGTAGCGATATTCCCCGATTTTACTACGACGTCCTGAACCGGAGGCGGTAGTTACGACTGTTGAACATTCTCTGCAACCATTGGTCGTGATTTTTCTTAATCGTCCGAGCGGCCGTGTCGCGATTGGATAGACCGCACGGCAATAATTTATCGTCCTCTCTATGCGAGTCTCTCTAGGCTTCGTAGAGACTGAAACCGTGTCGTTATATGGCAAATAACCGAGAACGACAACAGCTCGCAATGCGCACGGCCGGCCTATCGTAATAAGCCTGTCGCACCGCAATAAAGCTGGTTAGGCTAATTTAAATACATCTCGCCATAGTCTATACGACGCGACGTCGTCGCTACGGCGCGGCGCGACGACGAGAAGCTCTTTCGAAATGTGCATAAAAATTTTACGTAATCCTAGTTGTCCCTGTATCTCCTTTTTGCGACGCGTGCTGGAACGTGAGAAAATCACCGACACGCCTAATTGACGTTACCACCAGAATGTTCCATCAAACGTTGTCAACATTTTAACTACGATTTATTTGTCGAGTAAAGCTCCATTCTTATATCAGGAAATGTCTATGTCATATTTTTGCACAATAAGTTGAAACCAGAACGTATTCAGTTTGTGAACAGCTGTCTATAAAAAGACGACAATTTCAAATTCTAATAGCTATAAGGACATTTTAATTTCCTTTTATGAATCCGCTATGGAACTTTGTACGAGCTTGTAACTCACTTAGGTCTATAAAAAAGCATCAGTATTTATCAGAGACCCGAGTAAAAAAGGTAAAAATCATGTTCTATACTTTTTTCTTGAGACTTTGACGAACAATATTTTTTTTAAATTCTTCATTATACATTATGTACTAAACTAAGCCTTCTAATATCCTAAGGGAAGTTAAATCGTTTAGCTCAATATTTAAAAAGTTATTCAGTTTCGAAATGAGAACTCATATTAATGGGAGTCACTATACAAAATTAGAAAACATGCTATATTTAGAATATGCATAATTTTTTGTGGAGAACAACCTTAAAAGTCTGTGATGCTATTAGAAAAAAACCTTCACATTGATTGACTTAATCACTTTTAATTTTGAACTTATCCAGTAAAATGAGTAAATTATAGATTTAGCGAAATGTCAATGGCAGAACTTCTCGTTAACCTTTGCCCATTGGCAATCACGCGATGAGCCATCGACAGGGCTGACGCTGATATTACCTGTTCTCGTATATGTAACCGCAATCTTTCACGACTCGACGCGACGGAGAGAAAGAAATGTGATAAAAAATGTAATCCGTCGTAACGGACTTTCTCTCACGGCCGGTTGGTGTATATGTTAATATAAAATCGGTGTCTCGTTACACGGAAAATAAATATAAACGTGCAAATGAACGGTAGTAAAACAATATGTACACACCGCGACACCAATTAGCGTAATAACTGTCGTAAATTTGTACGTGGAGCGCGACGGAATCGTAAATTCGCGGGATAGGTAGTAACCGATACAGCTTCTAATCGTGCATAAATCATTGAATAAAGCGTTAATTGGGAACCCAAGTCTAATTCCTGTTTACTGTAACCAATTTTAAGAACAAGATAATAATAATTTATTTCTGTAAACGGGAGAAAATTATATCGGTGCATAGAAAAAAGAAAGTAATCGATAATTGTTAACATTCAATGGAATTGTGACTATGACGAAGGCGATGGAATTTTGAAGTGAAGTATCCCAGTTTGACGTGGTCCGTTGTGTAACAGTCAACAGTGCTTTACAGGATAAACTTCTAAGTAGAATTCGTTCGATGAAGCTCGTGTTTACTCAACGTCAATGCAACTCTCGTATTATTAGCATACTCTTCGTGCATTCACCGAGAGCAAAAGCACTTGTGGCTTATTACGGAGTACCCAACGTTTCAACAGCGAACTTTCGCCATTCATTGAGCCACTTTTACCGACGTTAACAGCACTTCGATTAATTTCCTTGATACATGCATGAAACATGTTTCTTCCAAATTTCAGTTTATGAAAAACTATTGTATCATTAAAATTTCTTAAGCAGGTATTTTCAATTTATCATCGAAAGTCTATTTTCGATCAATCGAAGACAAGTAGGGATATAAACGGTTTATTTCAAATAGCTAATGTCCATCTTCAAATATGTTTCACTGCGATTCAACTTAACAAGGAGAGAGCGAAGTCGAAAATTGGTGGGCCTCGCGGTCTATGATCTTCTCCCACGGGGAAGTAAATACTGGTTGGAGCGCATGACAAACGGTAACTATCGAGAGGCTTGTTATAGATAGAGCAACGGGCAACGAAAGATCTCGACGGTGAACGCTACCGGATGGTTTGCGCGTTCCACGAGGCTCCTGAAGCCTGTTTAGACAGCGAGTGCTTCGTCGTCTCTTACGATTGACATGTATAAATATTTGGTTAGTCGCCTCACCGTTTTGTACCTGAATCGTGCACGCGTACCTATGTGAATATCCTTCGACACGCATCCCGCAGGATACGAGAAACTAATGACTGTTGCTTCACGCGACAACCCACGTAAAATCGATTCTTTTTTATAGTTCGATGAAGTCGACAGAATAGTGGATCAGAAAAAGTTTTACATATATCATAGACATATGGGAAAAATAATTTTGAATCTTACCATTATGTGCCATTCTTTTTTACCAGAAATTAATAATTATATAAATAATCCCAGTATCCCTTGCGAAATTTTCAACCTGACAGCTACTTGTCTGTGTGTATAATAAATCGACTGATCCTATGATTTAGACATCGAACGACGGACAGAAAATGAATTCGATGGTCGCGATCAGGATCTACAAGGAGCTAGCGTGTGGGTGGATGATTCAGCTAGAGAAGTCCGGTCGGCTGCTTTGAAATTGATACAGAACGCCGACATTTGATTCCGAATCGAACCGACTGGTATTTCAATCGCGCACGCTCCGAAACCTCAAAAGATGATCTTCTGCTTTTTTCGACCGATCGGTCGAGCAGATATTCGTATTAAATTGCTTCGTGCACGCGTTCCATTCCTCATCCACCACTCGTATCGATTAGACACGTTTGTTCAAGAAACGTTGCTGTCGTTTTGCAAAATTAAAGATATTAAAAAAACATATAAGTATTTAAAAGATAAATGCAAAACTTGTCTGAGGGAATTCGTAATCATTCATAATTAATTATCACTTATAACGATAAATAATGATTTCACTCTCTTAGAAATCATTCAGTGACTAGATATTTTCAGTACAAGGTTTTACACACTTTTATAAATTATTATCCATTTTTTATCTTAGCTCAACTCAGAACGATATTCGAAGCAGTGCTATCGCGTGGCACGCGATCATTTAATCATGAATTTATTCGCGACCAATTGATTAATTAGTCGATCACTGTCATTAGACGCGCAAATTATACACCGGTGAAACGAAGAAATTATACGATATTTAATCACCCGAGTTAATTCTCAGAACGGTTTATCAAAGCTGACGCGTGCCGTCACTTTTGCGTGTCTTTTTATACCGCAGAATCAGCACACATGATCGATGAACTTATTTTAAATGCTGATCTGATCTCTTATTGGAAATTTTTAAATGTCACCCGAGAGAGGATATTTCGGAGTTTATTCTAAAAGACAGATAATTGCGCCTGCATTTTCGCAAGCCTTGATGAACACCGGAAACTAACGGAGGTTTCGTAGGAGTACATAAAAGAAAGCCATTGTACAACTGTTGGGCTCGTTAACTCTCTGTCGACACATTTGATCGATTTTTCCTGTTGATTGTTACTCGCTTGCATCTCCCATTAATATTAATCCATTGTCTCGCAATAATCGACTCGTATTACTTACACGTGTTAAGATATAAACACGAAGAATACGAATTGCTTTGGAGACGCTAGTCATGTAATTTCAATACAAAGTGATGAATTTCGATATCATCATTGAAATATGTAATAAAATAGCTAATAATTGTCATCTATAGTAACATTCTTCTATGAATTATCTGAATCATATTTTTGAACGTCAGAAAAGACTATGACATTTCTTTCTTAAATTATCAATTGAAATGAATATATTGAAATCGTAAATAATGAGGCATCGAGAGATCTCTCACTTACTACCTAGCCTAGCCCCTCAGGCATAACAAAACGAATGGAAAACTTCATATATTAGAAGCTTGCAGTTAACGAGTTTCATTATCTATGCAAGAAGCTTCGTATTTACTCGATTCGCTTCGAGCATCACCGGGAGTTCGAACCGCGCTCGCAGGTTGCAAAATAATCCTGAATCACTATAATGATACACGAGGGTGACCGGCGACGACCAATGAAATATAGGCTTTTTGCATAATTTATCGCGCGATCGCAAGCGAATATCGACGATCTTTTTCTCACCGTGCATCGCGTCCTGCCGGTATACACATTTTTCAGAAAACAAGGAGACAGTGTGACATCGGGGAGCAGCACGCGAAGCTGAGGAGATGCACACCGTGCGGATAGGAATAAAACGCATAACGGTAGCGAGCATAGCCGGGAGACAGGACTGTCGTCCGACGTCGCGTTAAGAGAATTATTTATTGGAACCATTGGCGCCGTCAGAACGATTAGCATACTAATGCCGGGAACGATTTTCCTTGCGTCGTTCGCGAGCCGATCCCTTGCTCCGTGTTAATCTGCCATTATTAAATTATTCGCGTTTACTACAGCGCCTTGCTCCGGGGCAGTCCGCGACAATTATCGTTTATCAACATCGCGGGACAACGTCTCGCGGCATTAGACTACGGTTATACTCGATACGATCGGACGATATGTCTATGCATATAGCCTAGAATAGAGATAAAACTGGTATCGATATCGGCCGTTAATAAGTGTACCGATCATACGAGACGAGGAATTTGTGCAACGATCGGGACCGGGCGAATGCCCGGCTTCCGGTCAGAAATTGATCTTAGGAGACCCGACGACGCGCCGGCGTAGCGGTACAATTCATTCCAAGTGCGAAACAGGAAGCTTCACAGATCTCACTTGTCGAAAAGTACCAGGTGTTGTTTGAATTTGCCTACAAAATTCTTGAACACGATATTTTGTTTACTGGTGCGTTGTAAACCAAAGACTTTAAGTGTCCCCACAAATAAAAATCTAATGGATTTAGATCAGGCAGTGCTGGCCAATTAATTGGTGCTCCACGACCAATCCATTTATTAGGTAATTTCAATTCATTTTTCTTAGATTTTACTTCTATGTCGATCTTGATAATATTTCATCGTTTTTCTACTGGAGAGAATACAGCAATGTGTAAAAGAGCAATCAAACAGTCCGCCTAAATCACCTCCCACGTGGTTAGTCTAGCAACATACCAACGCGAACAAGCCATTCCTAAACATGATTAACTTCCGCATAATTTGCCATAGTTACCCTACGAAACAAGAGTACGGAGACACATTCGCAGCCGCCGACGATAAATCGCAACTAGACTTTGTAACTTCCAGATCCAAGAAATTTGTAACTGGAAGATATAAATGTAACAGCATGTACTCAAGCGTTTTGCAATATAATAATTCAATATTGAATGACGATAACGATGAATCTATATTAAAGAACACGATACTTGTAAAAGTTTGATACAAGTTTAACAATATATGGCTTTAAAGTTTTTCAGCTATTTTGGGCCCTTCCAATTACGTAGAATAGAACGGGTGTTAGCAGACTGGCGCCGATTCGCGGTGTTGCTCTCGTAATGCGTTTTAATATATTATGATCTACAGGGCAAGTCTAAATGAGAATCGCCTTGGAGACCATGCGGTGAAAGGCTGGGATTATTAATTCGCACCGATGCGACGCGATGGTAATCGATCTTCGCTGCGGAGCAATGCGTTCTCAATATTAAATATTTTCTTGCAATGTGATCGTGTGACTGAATAAACCGTGTCGTTAAGAGCAGCTTAGGTATGTCTCGGACTAGCGAGAAATAATGTTCCCTTATAATCTCGTTACACCCGCGGAATATGAGAAAAATGAAGGAATTATGTCACTCATGCGTGAAATACGCCGCGTGAAGGATTTTAGTTCGTTAGGGAAATAAATAACGTCTGATGTCGTCTTGGTGTTCACGTTAGCACTAAATTTGTCTCACGCGGGTCGATCTAGTCAGTAATGGGAATTCGAACTGGAACAACATCACCCGGTTTATTTATTATCATCATTTGCACTTGATAGTGATTTATATCGTAGGAACACATGCGAAAAATGTACTCAACGTGCGTTAAAGGAATCTGTAATACGCAAGAGAACGTAACAAAGACGATGATTTATACTTGTACGATAGGCGGATAAATTTACAATGCGCTATGTATCCTTCGTACCATATTATTTCCCAACACTCATAAAAGAACCATTATGGAAAATGTTCAATCAAAAGACAAGTAGGTGGGAAATTTTCGTTATTAGCAATTCAAACAACGGATTAATTTACTTCAAAAAGAGATCGTGTCCGAAAATTGTGATAAAATATACTAGGCACCACTGACAAAGTAAAAGGACAAGGAAATTAGGAAGTAGACAACAAAGTAAAACGTGACTATTAATTTCTCAAAATCTATGGAGAATAAATTCTATTTATAAAAGTTAAAAGCTCATAGTTATAGAACAAATTTTAATTGCACAATTCTCATGAAGTATATGTTGTGAGAACTATGTGAGAATAGTATGGTAATTACACCCACTCTCTGTAAGCTGTGATTTAAATCTGGATAGTTA